ACCACCACTACCACTGCCACTGCCACAAACTTTCGAGTCACTTTCGCTCTTAAATAACTAGCTAACAACATAGACGAAGATACTCCAGGTGATAAGAATTACCGGACATGCTTAATTTCCAAGATGGCGGAGCGTGTAGTCTAGCATATCAGCAAACGCGATCATCCTCTCCTTTTTCATTTTCGTAATCTTTGTATTTTTTGATTCATGGGTGAAGCTAATAAAATGAAATATTATTGTCATTTTACAGGAATGCAGCAAGGTAGAGCTGAATAACAACAAGATAATAGATGGTGAGCCAGGTAGGTAACATTTTTTTGTGTGTGAATTTTTTTCCCAGGTGATCTTTTGGAGTTTTTTAAAACTTTTTTATTATTTTGTTTGTTGTTTTGTTTTGTTTTAAATTTGTACTTAATAGGCCCTTTGAAACAGTTCAGTAATCACGTGCTGATTAATTCATGAGAGCAAATAAATGAAAATTTCGATTCCCATGGGTGAAATATACTGGAGAGTAAACACACTCTGTACAACCTGTTTCGAGAGATCGTAATAAAACTGCATTTCGTAACACACTGGTTGAACATCGTTTCATTCAGTTCTTTTCAAATAGCTAAGGAGAATCACCAATTTAGTATAAAAACAAACATTTTGCTCTCCAGTACAGACACGTGACCATTGACTACAAACGGCCTACTGTTTCGTCGTGTTAGTTATTTGCTTCCAGTGTTTGCAAATAGGAATAGAAAATCTGACATTTCTTCGAAGGGGAGAGGGGAKGGGTCCTGGTAAACACAAGTGCGCTTTTCGGCAATCAGAAGGCTGAGTGAATTTTAAAATGCCTTGTTATTAAAACTGCTGTGAAAAACAAGCCAAAATAGACCATTTTCGACATATTCATATTGACACTCATATATGTATAATTAATTACATGCTCATACTCAAAATTAATTGTAAAAGCAAATTAGTAATGCATATTTCAACATGTTACATAAAGGAATTATTTAATTTTAACTGTGTCATTCATTCTTCTTTTTTCATTGGTTGTCACATCAATAAATAACTAAATTACGAAAAATAAAAATTGGCGCATGCGCAATAGCGTATGCATATCTTCAAAATCGTTAGCTATGGCGGCAGCTCGTTTTTCTGACCTCCTTGAAGAAGACTGTGAAAATATTCTTGATTCAGAAACAAGAGAAAATATGACAGAAAGTAAGTTTCCTAGTCAGTCCAAGGACCATATTTAAATATATAATCCCACCAAAAAATAAGGTATAGGTTTCTGTAAGGTTTATTTTAGGTTTCATTTCTTTAACTCATAACATGTATACAAAGATATATCTCATTCGTTTGTTGAAAGTAATGTTGAATTTACCTCTTTTTTAGTGGAAGTTTACAGTCGCGTTTATAGCCAGTATAAAACCATTGCTAAATAAATGCCTAAAGTTTGAATTTCAGTTTAGTTAAAAATTCATCTAAGAAAAGCTTTAAAAAAGTCACTCATTTTTATCATCTTCATCTAATATTTACGAGAAAGAGTGGAGAATATGTGTCAAGTGGGTGATCGTTAATATTTTCTGAATTCTCCGCACGAAAACGAAACCGCCATCGCAATTCTTGAGTCATTAAGAAAAACGTTGCAAAACCTCGAAAAACCCTGAGATTATAAAAATATAAACGAAAATTATTCTAAGTTAAGCTAAATAGACTCTTTTATGTTTTTGTCTATTTCAGAAAACGTGTCCGATATAATAAGATTTTTTGTTTGAGTTGTATCTATACATGGCCTCTTCTCATATGCAACCGTTAGAAAAAGAAATTATACTCTAGAGAATAACACGTGTTCTGTGATGGGAAGATATTACGCGCATGATACTATGAGACAGTAATTTCACAAGTTAGAATGATTTCTAAAGAAAAACTTTGGAATCACAAAACTAGGAAAACCTAAGGCAAGACAAAATGATTCGCTGCGTCCCCTGAGTTGAAAACGTGCGAATTAACAAAACTACAATATCGATAATTTAGCTATTCGCTGATAAAGTATGCGTTATTTTTTTATGATTGCAGAATCGGTCAAACCAGAAGATCTTGATCAGGACCAGAATCGCAAATCAGGTATGTTTTTTTGATGTTATAAAAGGCCTAATTCGCATCGAATTTAACTTTTTTCTATAAACATTTTCACGATATCTATTTATAGTTAACATTTTTTGAAGATTTCCTTTACATCGTCGAATTAATACCTCGGTTTTTTTGATTTCATTGACTCAAGAGAATAGTTAGCCTCATTTCAAAATATTTACAATCATTCATATCAAAATATTCACATGTAACAACGGTAAAGTAAAGAATGCATAACTTTAACAATACACTGATGTAGTAAGGAGTTTGTATGGAGGATACACGGCCCCACAAGCTCTTAGCTTTAATGCCTACCGTGTATAAATGAAAAATATTTGATTTATTTATTTATACAAACACTTTGAAATTCCATGGAACCTTCGCTGAAACACATCAGAACATTCTGCACAATATCGAGGCTAACCAGTAGCCTGTGTTTGCTTGGCGGTCCTGTTGTGCACGTAGGATGCAGGGTGGGGGGTGGGGGCAACACCGCATACCAGATATTCTAAAGCAATCTGAAAGTGCTGATCCAATTCTAATGTATGGATCGCCTCTATATTGTCTTCTATACACCGACTTAGTATTACTAAGCAAAAACCCAAAGGATTTACACTCATAACTCAACCAGCTAAATTTATATTCCAATAGTAATGGGTTTACAGTGAACATTTAGAAGACAAAAGTTTTGATCTTTAATAAAGCAGGACGACGTCTAATCAATTATACCTTTCGCTATAGGGAACATATCCTTGAAAACGTTCGGCTAGACAAGTATCTAGGTCTAACCTAAAGTGCTTTCGGGAATTTCTCGATTGCACAACAACTGGAACTTAACTAAATCAGCCTTAAAAGCTTTGTTTAAGCTGAAAAAAGAGATGGGATGTTTTTTAACCACGACCCTACATTAACACTAAAACTATATTTGACTCTTAGTTTTAGTAAAGCCGATCCTTCTTCACAGACAATATGAAGACTGGTAATCCAATTGAGTCAGTTCATATAAAATTTTGCTTGTCTAGCCGAATTAGGTCAACTTCCCATAAATTTAAATGCAAAATTAAGATCAGTTAAGTTTTGGTTTAAACATATATAACGAAATTCGAGAACCGCCAAAAAAATGTCAGCAATTGTATATAGAGAGTCATTAGCAACAAACAACAATAACTGGTCTAGTAAAGTAAAATCTGCATTAGACCGAAGCGGCTTAGGGAATATCTGGCTTGACGTAAACTGCAATCATCGTTCAAGTCAGAATCCATTTAAAATAATTAAAATAGATTAACGGATATAGAAATTCAAATCTGGCGAGGGGAACTCTTCAACGATAAAAAAAAAAAGAGGCCCCTCAGGCTCAAAAAATAATTAAGGACATATCATCTGGTAAAAACAGATTACTCGTTTAAAAATTATTTAATCGAAAGTAATTAGTAATCACGTACGACTTTGAAATCGAAAAGGGAAAAAATTCAAGGGAATACAAAAAAAAAAAAAAACAAGAAGAAAGGAGGTGTTTCCATTGCCCAGATAGCGTAGAAGATGAGAGACACTTCCTTCTTCACTGTACACTATACTCAAATCTAAGGGAAGAACTCTTCAAGAACATAAAAAGCATAAACAATGATTCTCTTTTGTTAAATGAGAACGAGTTGTTTCTGCTATTTATGAGTCTACCCAAAATGATAGCAGTAGCAAAATATGTCCACAACTGCTTTATAAAAAGATCACATACAATACAGAATTAATATAGTATGTGATTTTTTACCCAAACTAGGCACTAAATAGTAACTATACTAGATAGGTTAAATAGATGAATTTATCATAACATAATAGAAATTACTATAAATCAACAATTATAGCCTTCATACGTTTATTATTCGGGTAAAATGTCTATGTATATTCTGATACTTGCTTTCGAATAAAAAAGTCTGTCTGTCTGTCTGTCTGTCTGTCTGATCAGCGCAGGCTGAGGCTAACCTGCAATTAAGTGCAGCGACAGGTTACGTGAAGCTACACCTTAAAAAAAGCCCTTTCCATTAAGGACATTTTTCCACCACAAAAACTAAAATCGCGTACTCTAAATATTTTATTTTTCACTACAAATTATGTTTCTCTTTATATCTCATAACCTTTTATGGCATCACAATGGCGTGTTCCATCCTTGTAAAATTAAGAACTCTTTTCACATGCAATTCTTTTATACAAAGTTCCCTTCGAGTGTTTCTTAATCACATATTTATCTATTTTTCAGTGAAAAATCTTTGGTGAATTCATAATTTCATACGCGATTGAATCTTTTAATTCTTGTTTTTATTTCTGTGAAGGATGGAAAGTTATGCTAAAGAAGCGACGAGTGTTTGGTATCACTGCCTTTTCAAAGAAATCTTCAGCTGGCACTCGTCCTCCTTCTAGCAAACTTACGAATAACGATGAAGCCAAACAAGTAGAAGATGAACATCCAGAGGATTTAGGGAATGGCTCACCTGGGGTTTCAAAATMTTCACGAGCTCACTCCGCAAGATCTTCCGTCTCGAGCCACGAAGAACTCATCTTGACAAACGAAGAAATGTCTGTCCTCGTCAATAATAAAGAAGTCTTTGATTCGACGTCTTGTTCATTAGAGGCTAAAGCGAGTAGAGAAAGCAAAACACGTCCGAAGTTACTCACAGTTGTAAACTCGGCGAAGAACAAGAAAAGTACTGATAACCATTCCTTTGGAAGTCCTGAAAGAGACGATGAAAATTCTAGTGTACAGGACGACCATTTTGACGACATTGAGGAGCTACTTGGTGGAAAGACTGAGCTAAAAGAAGTCTCTCGTCATTGGAAAATGAAAGGAGTCAGGAAGAGATTTCGATCGTGGAGAGGCAAAAAACAACGAAGTGTAAGTGAGAGTGATGTGATTCGCGCCGTGGAGAAAGAAAACGATGATGATGATGCGAAAGAATTGTTGGAAGCGTGGTTCGATTCGGCAAGCGATAGCGGCAAAGACGARAAAAAGTCACAGAAAGTCAAGAAGCATAACAGTGTTGGGAACGTTGAGAGGAAGAATTCTTCGCCTGCTTTAAGCCGACAAAGTCCTAATATTGGAAAACGTGGATACTCGCTCGGCGATAAAGAAAAGCGTAAAAACAAAAATTGAAACGATTTTAGAAGGAAGTAAAACAGCAATGAGAATCGCATCTACACTGACTTGTCGACAAAAAATGACAATATTATGTACTTAATTGCGGCAAGCATGCAAGGACAAAAAAGGTATATATCATATTCCAGTCAATAATATGATTTTAGTTTGATTGAAAGCAGCGACGAAAAACCAAACAAAGAGTTCGCATGTAAATCGCAGTAAATAGTTCGGCCATGCAATCGATAACGTAAATGACGTACTTTGAGACTTTTTCTGAACATTTTGTATTAAAAATGATCTGATGATTGCTCTGATTTAAAATGCATACTTTTTTTAATGTGAAATGTTACAGGCGAGGTTTAGAGGCGGGAAAAAGTCGTCGCTCCTTCATTTCGCAAGAATTCAGGGTATTCCCTTTAAAGGGCAGAGTCTTCAGCTATCAATATAAAAGAACTAAGATAACTTCAATTCAGAAGTAAGCTAAAAAAATGTCAGAGAACTTGAAGGCGACATACTCAAAGTCCTTATATAGTAAAATTATGAATAAAGGTTTTGCACCATCAAGTGACGGCAGCCATGTTAGATGGCAGGAACAATACAATCGTTTTACATAAGAAAAAATTCAATTCCCAAGCGCAAAGGGGCGTTATTGTTCTGCCATCCAACCACAGGCAGTCCAAGCTGGATTTTGGCGCCGGCACGTGATGGTGCAAAACCTCTATACTAGTATTAAAACACTTTAAAATATGTTCATCGCAGTCACACAAACAACAAGGGAGGAGTTGGACTCGACATTACGTAATCATCTAATTTTTTGGTGTAATTAAATATCTGACAAATCTTGCCAACATTAAAAATATTTAATAACTAACGTTAAAGCAAACGGGATCTCACTTCGAAATCGATTCCTCTTTTGTCACGTGACTGCAAATAATGTAAGTACGTTGTGCGTATTGTTAGTTTTTATACCTGAAAATCTTTGAATAAAGTCTATAGTAACTGAAAAACTGATACTTCTTTAATTTTCTTTTAAATCTTTATTGATGTTTCAACACTTACACCGGTATTTCTTCATAAACTTGATTTTAAGAAACGCAGAAAAAATCCCGGCTCCAGAACCACACGCTATCTTTTCCCGAAATCATAATCAAAGGCGTTTGAATTTTTATTTTATTTATAAATATTTTTACTTTTTTCATGATATGATGATGATTATTATTATTGAATTCAATTTTTTATGGATTCATTGAAGCATTGTGTCATGAAAAAATATTTCTTAAAACTTACCAGATTCATTCTAATATTTTCCAGTCTCACTCATTTTCTTTTTTGTTCTTTCATTTCATTTCATTCCATTCTTTTCTTTTATTTCATTTGGTTCCATTGTAATTTGTTCTTATTCCATTCCCTTCTCCTCCATACTATGCCTATCTATTCTATTCTATTCAATTTAATTTCTAATTATTCTATTCTATCATTCTATTCATATTATTCTAATTCCATCCCCTTCTACTCTAATTATTCTATTCTATCATTCTATTCATATTATTCTACTTCCATCCCCTTCTACTCCAAGGTATTCCATTTTTTCATTCTATTCATCTTATTTTGTACTGTTCTATTACATCCATTCTTTAATTTACGATGTTGTTCTGTTCACATACTATTCTGATATTATTCCATTTCATTCCATTCTATATCTCTTTCCGCTCCATTTTTTTTACATTTCACTCAATTTTCCTTCCGTGTGATTAGTTTAATTGTTATCTTATGATTTCAAAACTAAACATAAAAATAATTATTATCTTAATAATTATAATGATAATAATAGCAATGACTATACACAATCATAATGCACAATTGCAAATCCTTTATTTACCAGTAACGAGGGTGGCACTAAATAGCAAAAACTACGCTAATATAAACCTGTGGTGCTCAGAAATATCTCTGAGCTGTTTAAAAAAAACACCTTACCTAACATAGCTAGAATTTCTCCTTTTCATATTCAACAGTCACAAAAAATTCACTAGAAATAAATAAACAAACAAGCCTTTATATTATTTTTTTCATTTTAATTAAAACATTATTTCTAGATTTGCAAGACAAAACAGATTTTGAAATTTGAATTCAGTTAGACAATACAGACTTTCACTTCCTCTTCATACTATGACAGAGAATTATCCAGAAATTCATTTAGACCACGAGGCTTTTGAGATTTTTTACGATAAAGACTAAAGATTATGCAAATAAAGGGTTTTTATTTCAACACAATCTAAACAAAGCACTCTATTACATTTATTATTCTGAGCAGCCGGCTAAAATGGAAATATTTTACAACGATTTTATTAACTAACGCCAAAAAAATAATTCTTAATTCAAGAATTAAAAGGAATCTAGAGGTTAAAAAATTACAGCGTTGACTTGAAGTCCTTGAGTATCAAAGAAGTAAAACTGAAAGAAATCAACCTGAATAGCGCCGTGTCATTTCGCGTTCTGTTTTGAATACACCGTGAATAAAACATGAAAAAGTCATTAAAATTATAGTCATTCAACTCCTTTCTTTTGCATCAAGAAAACCGAATTCTAAATTATAGGTTTTATTTGAAGATTTTCCGAATTATACTGCACAGAAAAAAGGTTGCCTCAAATCAAAGGTTGCCTCTTGAATAACTAACTTTATGAGCTTAATATGTAGATCAAATAATTAATATTTTGAAATTCGATACGAGAAAGCTGATTTTCCCATGCTCTTTTAAATACAATTTTTTCTAAGCCATAAGAAAATAAATGAGTCCAGTAGGAAATTTTCTCTTTTAGAATTTTAACTTTTCTTAGCTTATTTTCTAAATTTGAAGGAGCTGTCAAATTCAAGATATCTTCAGCATTGCTGTCACAGTTCAGCCACTGGTTTCATTTTGATAGTTCGGCTTTAATATTTGAAAGCTTTGTCACTCTCTGGTGAATGATATTTATCCAGAAAGAACACTTCCAATGAATTGTTCACAGTCAATTTGTCCTTGCTTGTCTTCTAACCCTTGAATGAGAACATCTACTTCTTCATCGGTCATTTTCTCGCCCAAACTCGTCAACAGATGCCTCAACTCGCCTTCGTTGATCATCCCAGAGCCATCGATGTCAAACATTTTTAAGCTCTCCACAAAATCCTCGCTAGTAAATTTGTTTTTTTTCCCTCGAAATGACTGAAAGATAGGCAGAAATTCTTCGAAGGAGATTCTTTTGTTCCCCTTTGGATCCAGCTCGGCAATATTTTTTTTGATCTCAGCATTTGTGGGATTTTGCCCGAGACCACGTAGAACATCGCCTAGTTGGCTYGAATCAATATGATCGTCTCCAACTTTGTCGTACAACAAAAAACATTCTCTTAAGTCTCGGATCTCCTTATCTGTCAAAGGTTTGTCCATTGTTTTGGTAGAAGAATTTTGAACAGAACTCTCTTTCTCGTTCACTGATCGACTCGCTCTTTTACTGTTCTCAGTTCCGGAACTAAAGCCGGTCAAACTGTCGGTCAAACTCATTTGCATGTTGAACAATCAAAGTTGCATTATGGGAYTTAAGCTTTGGATTTCCGGTAAGCACAGGGATCCCAGACGAATGAATTTTTATTTTAAGAATTCACTTATTCTACCTTTTTTTTAAAAAAGAAATATTATTAAACCTCTGTCTAATTATTTAGCTCGAGAAATCGTATTGCATGTCATATGGGATCGATAACACATTGAACTGAAATAACCTTACAAAAAGGGCAAAAATAGTTCGTCTCCGCATTCTTAAAAAGCTTTTCTACCAGCTAAACGACTGAAAATAATTATCTTGAAAATTCGAGTCCCCAGCCGAGGGCTACTGAGTAAATCATTGCAACACAAATTCTTAGAAAGAAAGTCAGTTGTTATATTATTTTCATCATACCCGCTGTTTTATGATAATATAAATACAAATAAACAGGTAGATTTTCATTATTAATTATGAATTGAAAATTTTGGCGCTCAAGGACGTGACAAAAAGACAGGAAAAGCCGCTTTATGACAACTTGTTTTGTTTACCTGTAAACGGTTGCGCTTCCTCGCTCGATTAAAAACGTAATAGCATACGGTTGTGCCAGGAAAAACCTTGCATAATGGCGACTGGAACTGCAGAAGAAGTAGAAGCAAAGGCAAGAAGACAGAGGCAAGACACCCAGTTCCGCCTGTCATTGTTTGTAATAGCTCTAATTTCATTGTCATGGTTTCTGGGAGCATTTGGCTTCTCGTATCTATGGTGTTTCTTCTTAATACCTTTGTGTTTCACGGTTTGGTATCGCAAAAATACGAAAATAATTGACGAAAGAGTCCGTGAAGCAGAACTTTATGTGCATCGGAAAAAAGCTCTTAGAAACGAGGAGTCTACGGAGTGGCTCAATTTTATCTTAAATCGATGGTAAGTTATGGAACTATCAAGCTGTCATATCACAAACGTTTCAAAAATATCGTTTAGTAGTTTTTCAAATGCATTTTACGAATAATTTACTTCAAAATTGAACTGCTGCTAGCGCTATAGCTAGCTGTCGTAAGTTTACGAAATTTCTTTCAACATTTCGAAAAATTATTTCGATTCCCGTGTTGAGCTGCACTTGCAAATCATTCATTGTTTGCAGTATAAAACATGACTAAAAGGGTGCAGCACTCTAATTCTATCTTACATCTTTTTATTCACTGATTTGGTGGCGGCCCCACTTATAAACTAAGCCCTTTGTCTGCATCGTATATATTGAACTCATAATTTCATCATTATTTAGTATTTGAGTACATTGTATAAGTGTATTCCGGAGAAAGTACTTATATTTTGTTTAACRTAACGTCTACTATAAAATTCACCATTTTCGCAACATATTGTTTTGTTTTTGTTCTTTTTATTTACTAAAAATTTCAAGTGCACATTTAAAAAAGTATTTCTTCGAGGAGATAACATTTCCAACAAAAAATGTGAAACAAATAATAAAATATTTAGAAATGTTGAAAAAAAAAGTTTTCATTCAAGTAATTTTCGATCAACACCTCGAGTAGCATTCAAATGACTTACTTGAGAATTCTGATTGGCTGGAAAATAACCACGTTTAAACTGTTTGTCCAATCAAATACACGTGAATAAGACTTTCATGCTGGAATCTATACTTTCCTAAAATCTAATAAATTATTCAATTAKTTAGTAGTTATTAGAAACATAAATGTTCAGTTTTTTGGAAATGTCGAGCTAATAGTGTTGTATTTAACTAACAGGTGGAATTTCAGTGAAACTTCATTATGCCAGCTCATTCGTGCAAGCCTCAATCCCGTCCTAGACTACAGCAGGCCCTCGTTTATAGGTATGTAAATAACGAGCAAGTGAGATTGTTGTATTTCAGAAGTGGGTCCCTTCCCATGAGAATTAAAGTAAAGACGTGGCCGCCATGTTGGATGACGTGACAAAAAATTAGACCAAATTTGCAATGTTTGTTTGTGCGTTTTATTTGTTTGTTTTGATCTGATTTATTGTTTGTTCTTTTCGTTGTTTTTGTTTTTGTTTTCTTTGTTGTATTTTATCTTTCGTTGTTGTTTGAGCGCGCGCATGTTTTTTCTTTGAGTTTTTTTTTTTTAATGGTTACAGAGGAAAGAGTGTAATCTCCTTTCAAGAGCTTTTAATTAGTTCTTGGAGAAAAAAGCTGGTGAAAATATAACCAAAAATATATATTGGCGCTGGCCCTTTTACAGTTATGCGGCCTGCTTATGCATACGCGCGACACGCGCAAGACAAGGCAAACTAACCTACTAGAGCAGTTTTCGTATTTCGACTGTGTAAAACTCACGGCACGAACACGGTCGTGACAAGGCAAAGCACATTCCACCCCAATCTCATTGCACGAGAACTTACTCTCCTTCCAACCAAATGCCTGAAACACGGCATGACATGGTCACATGGTCAAAATCCGCCAATCAAAATTATAGAAAATGAATGTCACGAACACGGTCGCGGCAAGGCACGCATACACAGCACCAAATTTTTCACATTCATACGAAAACTGTTCTATAATAACCCAACCCACGAAGTCAGTGGCAAACCGTTATTTTTTTAAATCAACTTTTAATTCATCTATATCAACCGGGAATCTATTGTTGTTTTATTTTTAAAAATCTTTTTTATTAAAAGAAAGCATGGAATTGATTGAGTTCACATTCGGTAAGAAGACTCCCTTTCTTAAGCATGTCAAAGTATTCGAGAACATTGATGAGGGTGACTCACCCAATATGCCAGCAACAGACCAGAACATCTTCAAACCACCAGACGACATGCAGAAACGGCAACGCCACTTGCTTGTGTTGAACATGGACTTGTGTCTTCAGGCGCCTGACACTAAAATTGTTATTAACGTGCGACTTGGCGGGAAAATGTAAGTAACACTTTTTACAATAACCTACAAATTTCTCGCGCGCTGATTGGCTAATTTTTATCGTCAGTAAGAGAAGAGACAAATAAGCTGTCGTCAACGAGCGCGTGTTGGTTGTATTGACCACTAAAAATTAAACTAGAAATTGTAGGAAAACTGCAAAAAAATGACATCAGCTTTTTATATTTCTGTACGTCCTCCTATTGACGATAGATTTCGTCATTACATTGTCAAAGTAGTATTCGGATCCACTCTACTTTGAAAATGAGATGACGCAATTTATCGTAGATAAGAGGAAAGACACCTAAAAATCTGACGTCAATTTATTAAGTTGAGCAAAGAAAAAATGAGTCACTCGTTTATAGTATCGCTGGTTTAATTCAGATGTTAAACTACGTCCTTGCCGTAATCTCATTAACTGCACCAAATGGTGGTCAAACACCAATGTGCTGTGTCAGCCAGAAAGAATTCTATTGAAAATAAATTTTTGATTGCGCTTATGAATAATTTTACACGAAACAAGAAATGACCGTCGTTAGTGCAACCCAGCATTTGTTAGGTATTAATCAACAGAATAACCTCATGAATAGCATTACCAACCTTAAGAGTAGGGCAAAAACCATCTTAAACAAATATAGTGCCTCTTGGGTAGGATCAGCACATCTTTATGGTGTTGCAACATAAATTCTCCGATGCCCTCTACTCTAGCCGATAAACAATGAATGAAGAACAAAGAAAACTAAGATTTCCTATTTGATGTTCCATTTTCAGGCTCGGAGCGGATGTTGATGTCAGCTTGGAGGATGTAAATCTATCTGGCCGAGCGCAGATTGTATTCGAGATGGATCACATGATTCCCTTCCCGCACATGAAAAGTGTCGCTGTGACGTTCCTGGAAAAGTATTTTAAAAAATAATAATGATAATTTATTCGTACTTTGTATATACTATGTTTAATAATAAGCTAYTGCTTGGTATCAATCAGATATTAATGAATCTCATTACTGGCATTCACTGAAGGGCAAACACTGCCCGACATGTCCTATCAACAAGAGAGTATTGTATTGCCACGTACCTGGTATCAATCATATGAATAAATCACATTACCAGGCTTTAGCGAAGTGCACGCATGCCTGTCATGCCCTATCAATCAATCAGAGAGTATATTTTATTGCTTGACAACAATAAGCTAAACAAACCTTATCATCGTTTATCTCTTGCTGTAGGTTTTAGTTAGTCGAGTATTTTTACTTTGTGATTGTCATTCTAGACCTGAAGTCAGCTTTGATGTGTGTATGATGCGTGCTGTACAAGTAATGGACATCCCAATGTTAAAAGATTTCATCAATGCACTAGTCATAGACAGTCTGACCTACGGTAATGCTTCCTTGCTTCCTTGCTTCCTTGCTTCCTTGCTTCCTTGCTTCCTTGCTTCCTTCAACCATCCCTTTTATTAGAATAACATTTCATCCCTACATTGTTTTTAGCTCTCGTGGATCCTGGGAGGATCGAGATTCCTCTAAACAGTGTTGACACTGAGGAACTGCTCAACGCTCCAAGAAAATCTACTTATGGTAAGTACACCAGTTATTTCATCATTTTTTGTTAACTTGAACTATACATAACTTTGTTCCTTGGTTGGGTTTTACTTCAGCTAATGGAGTGCTGACGCTGACTGTAAAGGGAGGTTTACCTCAAAAATTTACAGGTAAGTCTGCTTAATTCTGGGAATCGAAGGAGAGGTAGCTATAGTAATGCACTTACTCTCACCTATTTAATTTGGGATATGATTACTGGACTTACAGCGCAACGCAAAAGTATGAAAGCACACTTCTATGCAAGGGCTTGTATGTTAACCCGACACATTTCGATGCGAAACTAGCTGGTTTTACCAAATAAGACGTGTAAACGCTCGTTTGGCAGGAAAAAGCTCGTGCATAGAAGTACATTAAATGTGGTCATGCTTTTGTGTGTTGCGCTGTAATACCCTGCATGTTTCGAAAACAAAATGTTGTAYATTTTGATGCAAACACCTAAGAGAATGTTGCGGCGTGTATGGTGGAAGCTTCGCACTAAAACATAAGTGAAAAATATTACTATCCCCCTTGGGATGACGATGCATGATACACGATGTTGATGGTGCTGCTTGATAATAATGATAATGTTGATGATAGTAATAACGGTAATAATCTGATACATAGATGACCAAATCTTCACATCGTTCAAGTTGGCGGACCAGGACGAAATCAACTCGGAGAAGATTCAGGGTGGAACAACATGGGAGGGTTCTTTCTCGTTTCTTACCTACGACTTGGCCAACGAGCATGTAAGCAGGCTCTTAAAGTTCTTTTTGATTTGATTTTATCATGTCTACGTTCAGCTCTACAATCAAGTGATTCAGTAATGATAAAAGGGTAAATTTTACACCGTCAAAAGATGAAAAAACTTACTGACGTTTCGGACTAGCGTCCGAAACGTCAGTAAGTTTTTTCATCTTTTCACGGTGTAAAATTTACCTTTTCATCATTACTGTTTCATTAGAAACACCGACGCAGCTCACACTAAGGCCTCGTCCACACGTATCCGGAAATTTTTGTATCCACCAATTTTTTTTTTACGGATACGGGTTGTGTCCACACGTGTCCGGAAATTTTTGTATCCGTGTCCACAAATTTCCGAAAACGGTCTCCAGAGTGGAAATTTTCGAATACGCTCCGAATACGGATACGTGTGGACGGCCGCATCCGCAAATTTTGCGCATGCTCAATAAGAAAAACTATCCGTCAAAGGGACTAGGCACTAGCGTGCATCAGGGCGGATCAAGAAATTTGCGGATACGATACGATACAGTGAAAACGATTCGAAAACGATTCGAATACGCTGCGTGTTGACGCGAACATTTTCGTATCCGCAAAAAAAAATTTGCGGATACAAAAATTTYCGGATACGTGTGGACGGGGCCTAAGTTATCTCTTCTTTCAATCAAGTGATTATGAGTAACGAGCTGGGATGGGGTGTCTTGTTTAACGTTTCAACGAGTCAATTAAAAAAWATATATTTTTAAAGCAAAGGTACTGATAAGAAAATATTATTAGAATGCTTTGTTATCATTAAACAAGTTAAGATGGTGGTTATGACGTACCAAGCACATATATTTTCTATATATTTAGGTTACTTGACTTGGATTCAATCAGCTGTTTTTGAATCTCTGCATTATCTGCTTCAAATGGTGTCAAACACTGAACACCATGGACTGTCAACAAGAAAGAATTCTATTGAAAACTTGCGATTCAATTTATGAACTTTCCGTACGGGACAGGAAATGACGTCAAATGAAACCCAGCAAACGTCATCAAAATCAGCGGTTCACATCGAATGAGAAAGAGGTCTATAGAGGCTTTGCACCATCACGTGATGTCAGCCATGACAGGAGGCACAGCAAACGAGTCTTTTACCCTGGGAAGAGGATTTTTTTTTTTAGTGTAAATTAGATTAGACCGGATTCAATTGTTCCTGCCTCCTGTCATAACTGCCTTCTCGTGTTAATGCAAAGCCTGTCAGTGGCAAATCATTAATACCTTTTCTTTGGCAGATGACTATTGAAGTTCGAGGTAAGCGAGTGTTTGGTACCAAGTACGTGCTGGCCAAGTACAAGATCTTTTTGAATAGTCTTAACCTCGAGAAAAAGAAGAAAGTGTAAGTAAATGTTTTTTTTTTAAATTTTCGATAGAAATTCAAAGTTCTCACGAATAACCTGTCGGCCGATACAACAAAACTTAATGTTTTAATGGTTGGCACATTAAAATCACAATGACTGATTATGAGTATTACCGGATCTACCTAATGCGGGGGTTAGGTTAAGGATGGAAAGGAGAAGGAGAAGGAGAAGGAGAAGGAGAAGGAGAAGGAGAATGACAGGAAGAAGGTGAATGAGCTTCATTGAAGACCGTTTTTATTTGTAAAGTTCCCACCTTGGATCCCAGGCAGGCAAAAAGAATCCTAGATAAACAGATGGTTATAGCGGATTCTAGCTTGTCTTCTAGAATGAACTGGCGAAATATTAACAATTAATAATGCCATTGTGCATTTTCGTTACTAGTGACACGGCGCTTGAGAAGGAAGGTATCAAAGGATCGCGGCTCGAGGTAACAATGGAATATACAGCACTAGATCACATCGACGTCAGCAGTCGAACAAATGAAAAAGAATTTCTTGAAAAATACAACATGAATGATCCTGTTAATGAAGGTAACTCTGCCCGTCATGTGCACACTATTAATCTAAGAGTATTCCATTATATTGTTTCGTACTAATCACAGCTGATTGAATCTCATTACTAGCCATATCATGACAGACAAACACCGTCTATTGCTTGGTATCAATCAGCCAAATGAGTCTCATTAACAGTCAATATATAATGACAGGCAAACACTGTCCACCACAGGCTATCTACCAGAAAGTATTCTATTGCTTGGTATCAATCAGCTGAATGAATCTCATGAATCTTATAACCAGCTCGTCATGACAGGCAGACACTGCCCGCGTGTGCTATCAACCAAAATTCTATTGTTTGGTATCAATCAGCTGAACGAATCTCATGAACCACATTATAATATACTGTGCAATGACAGGCAGACACTGTCCGTCATGTGCAGTACTATCGACCAGTGTGTATTCTATTGCTTGATACCAATCAGCTGAATGATGAATCTCCATACAAGTCTACAATGACAGGAAAATACTGCCCCCATTCTCGGGTTTATTTAATTAAGTCTATTATTGTCTTTTTCCCAGTTGCTGGTGTTCTCCTAGTCGTGTTGCACAGTGGAGCACAGCTCTTGTCTATGGATGCAGATGGCTACAGCGATCCTTACTGTATCATAACCGCAAACAAAGAAAAAGTGGGTTATGCTCGAGCTCTTTTACAAAGTGATCTAAGAACTTAGATTTTTCATCTTTTATACTCATTTTTATAATTATTGTCCCCTTCACAGTTCCCTGCGTTATCTATGCATCGAAGCGAGACAAGAATTGACCTTGCAATGAAAGAGACAATTTTGAGACCTTGGACAATGATTCGAATGTCTCTATTATCGCAAGCTCACCGTTCGTCTCGCTCCAATGCAAAGGCACGGCTACTTTTCAAGATAGCGCAGGGAGCTGTAAAGAGGACTATTCTCCAATACTTCTATGTATAATACTTCATGATTAATGTAGTTCTTTGATGCAAAACTTGCAAAATTTAATGTCAAAAGCTTCATTTATATCCGCCATAGCTTGAATTGACTAGATGCTTTGCTTTCGGTGATTGCCTCAGTCTACCCCAGGTGTATAAATGGGTAACACCAAACTTTTTGTGGGGCTTCTACAACGGTCTAACACTTGCGGCGGGGGGAGTGTAGGGTAAAATAATCATGGATGTTTAATGGTTCTGTTGAATATTACAAACGTATTGCCTCTCAACTGTGTATGTGGTATGCTTTAACAAACAGATCAAAACTACTGCGCATGTGCAAGGAACAGTTAATCCAGTGTGGGACTCTACAACAGAGTTCTTTGTCAAGGATATTACTAAGGTAAAGAAATTCATAAAACCTTCAACAGACTTTATTGTTAGTCTGTCACATCAATGCATTCTGGGACWGTTAACTCAGATAAAAAACACCTAACAAAATAACAACAAATAGTCTAAGCGATTAGACAAATCTTACATGAGTTTAGAACAATGGGAAAAGTTAATACGTAAAACTTCGCTCTGAAATTTACAGTTTAGACTCTTGCATTCGTTCATGAAATTCCTTTAACTCTGTTCTTTACTTTATTCTTTTCCAGACAAACCTATTTTTTCTGGTTTACGACCGTGATCGCAATTGGCAGGGACTGTCTGACGACTTCATGGGATCTTGTTCTTTCAACTTATCAAAGGTACACAAATTGTTTTAAAAACACATAGTCAAGGTTAGTCGTTCGGAAGTTGTACAAATGTTATGCATTATGGGGCTCTTTGGAGGGACGCTTCATCAGTCAGTTGACATTTTTTGCATCAAGAAACGAAAGAAATCTGAGATTTAACAAGACAATTAATGTTTCCTATCACTTTTCTTCCTTTCACTTTTCACTATAAGGAAGCAAACAAAAAAAAAAAAAAAAAAAAAAAAAAAAAAAAAA